CAGACCAACTCTCCAGAATGTACTGGCTGTATTTCAGCACCACAGGGCGCCAGAAAATGTCAGCTTGTCTCTGTGAGATTTAATATTAACACGAGGCTTCTGCAGTTCTAAAGCAGGTTCTTCTTACATGTTTTCAAAGCAGGGATACTGCATGTTCTGAAATGTTTTGTACCTCAATCTAGTGGTGGGCTGAATGAGGACTCAGCAACTCAAAGCCCAACAGGATGGAGACCACAGGTGGGTTGATTCCCCATAGAGAAAGAAAGCAGGAAGAGAGAAAGGCCGCACTGCAAGCAGATTCTGTCAGTTCACACATTCCAATGACATGGATTTGGGCTTTCTCTTCCAGCCATGCCGGAGAAGAAGCAAGACGCCTGTGTGTTTTCTCTTGTACATAGTTATGTTTGTTATTTTCTGTAGGCGTTAGAAAGTAACTAAATAAATGTGCCGCTTCAAGCCGTCTGCGCAGGATTCCATACTTTGCACTTTAACAACTCAACCGTTCAATGCTAAGGCTTCCGGCCAAAATAGAACTGTAGAGGAGGGTCTACTTAACAAGCCAGTACCTGCTGCATACCGGTACTGCGATCTGTTGAGGAGTTACGAAGGTGGAGGCATTACTTTTCATTCAACCTAGCCCTAACCCTTCCCTGGGGTTCAGTATCATACAGTCTCATTTCTGAATCAGCACTACTGTTGCACTCCAGAACAGGAAATAGCCCCTCTGACTATAAACACATCACAGGTTGAGTGAAGGAACAATCCTTTTTATTAAAGCTTAGCAAAAAAAGCCAGTAGAAATAAATGCTTGTAAAGATAGATAAGATTCCAAAAAGCAATAAAGCATTTAAAGGCAGCAAGATAAAGCCGTGTCCAAAGGTAGCAATCAAAAGCAATGTTCCAAAAGCATAAAATATAATCCAAGGCACTGATTATCCAGACAGGAATCAACCAAGAAGCAAGAACAGACCAGACGCTGCTAGTCAAAGGTTAGAAAAAACCATGAAGACGAGACCACTTGAACAGGAATTCCATGAGGCTTGTGCTTGGTTTCCAAATGATGCCTGATCTGATAAGATTTTCTACAGGCAAATCTTAAATCCCAAAAACTGGTTTCGTTTTCCTCCAGTCTTTGACCTTAACTGACGAATTCTTTAGGATCTGCGTAAACATTGGGCCTTTTGACGATTCTGGCTAATCTCCAGCCGCCGACTCTGCTTATCTGACTCCTCATTAACTTTCCCAGGTGCCAGACTGTTTTCCAAACTACAATCTGGAGAGCTCACAGGCAGAGAGAGTAAATCTTCCTCCCAAGGCCTGACAGAAATATTCTCATGAGAATCTGCCCTTTGCACCGAAGCCTCTCTGTCAGTGTCTGCATGAAACTTATTGACCAAAGTGTCTCCATCTTGCACCTCAGAATCAGCCCCAGCATCCCCCACATCAGACACAGAAACATCAGGAGACTGAAACACATTCACAGGTTCAAGCACAAGTTGAGTCCCAACAGCTACCTATGTTTATCTTGTCAACTTGGATCAGGCACAGGTTTGCTAATGCAGGTTAATTCTAATGATGGTTAGGCAATGCTCCGTCTGCAGCTAGCCTTCTGAGAAACTGTCAGAAATGTAAACTGCTCAAAACCGCCCTTCCACACAGCCCTATATCCCGGAATATCAAGGCAGAAAATCCCACATTTTCTGAGTGTGGTCTCAGATAACCCAGCTCAAAGCAGATGTTGTGGGATTTTCTGCCTTAATATTCTGTGATATAAGGCTGTGTGGAAGGGTCCTAAGAAACACCATCTTTATGGGGGGGGGGGGGCTTATGAGAATGATATCCAAACTTTCGACAGTACATCTGTTGAGGAGTTACGAAGGTGGAGGCATTACTTTTCATTCCACCCTCGTATATGTTTTCTGATGGGCTTTGAGAACCCTTCAGAAACCCACTCCCCAAGGGTCCCCACCCTAAGATTGAGAAACAGTTGAATAAGGGAACATCACCGACTGGGGTAAGACATGGTATAAGGACAGAAGGATACATGAGTATGGATGAAACGCTTCTCCGGGACTAAGAAATGCCCTCAAAATGGATAAACTCGGTATTACATTCCGGAATCATTGCATTCTTGCAGCATGAAGCACCCTACAATGTTACACGAGTGTAGTTTATTACAAAAACCCAATTGCCTAATTAAGTTGCTATTTACTTCCCTTTAATAGGAGCCTAGATATATTGCCTTAGGGCAGCTGCCTCTTTTTGCCGCATGGCAGACGGGGCCCGGCGTCCCTGGCTCCTCGTCGCGCTCTTTCCCCCACCAGGATGTGTATATTTATTCCCGATTCTCTTATCAAAAGAGCAAGCTTACAAGTGCGACTATATTTGTCATCTCGTCCCCTGTGAAATCATTGGCATGCTGTAGGAGCGCCGAGGAAAGGAAAGACTGATGTGCCTTGCAAAAGAAGAGGGGGGAAACACCAATGGAAATAAATCACTAGACACAATTTTTCTAATGCGTTGTGTTGGTAGAATGCTTAAATACTGGGTTCTGGCAGCAAATCTGGTAGCTTTACATTGTTGCTTGTAGTGAATTCTGCAAGATGTCAGCCTAGTCCAGGTTGAGAAACACTGGTCTTTTTCTGTGGATTACTTTTTACTGCTTTGGCTACACATTTTCCTAAATAAACTGCTTGCTGATTTTACCCAGCTGGTGTGATGGTTAAAGTCAGAGGTGATCCTGCTCTGGAGTGCAACACTCTATGCCAAACTATGGCCCGCGGGCCGGATACGGCCCTCCAAGATCATTTACCCGGCCCTCACTCAGGGTCAACCTAAGTCTGAAATGACATAAAAGCACACAACAACAAAAAAACAACAACAACAAGCAGGGCCTCCCCGGACGTTCTTAAAGTCTTGGCTACATATTTTCCTAAATAAACTGCTTGCTGATTCTACCCAGCTGGTGTGATGGTTAAAGTCAGAGGTGATCCTGCTCTGGAGTGCAACACTCTATGTCAAACTATGGCCCGCGGGCTGGATACGGCCCTCCAAGGTCATTTACCTTGGCCCTCAGGGTCAACCTAAGTCTGAAATGGCATGAAAGCACACAACAACAAAACAACAACAAGCAGGGCCTCCCCAGATGATCTTAAAGTCCTAGATGGCTCACAAGGGGAGATGCGTCCGCAAAGGTAAATTGGGCCAGAACTGTTTAGGGTTTTATAGGCTAAAGCCAGCACTTTGAATTGTGCCCAGTAGCAGACTGGAAGCCAGTGGAGTTGGCGCAGCAGAGGAGTTGTATGCTCCCTGAGCACCGTTCCTGTTAACAATCTGGCTGCCGTCTGTTACACCATTTGAAGCTTCCGGACAGTCCTCAAAGGCAACCCCACGTACAGAGCATTGCAGTAGTCTATATGGGTTGTAACCAGATTGTGGACTACCATGGCCAAGTCAGGCTTCCCAAGTACAGGCGCAGCTGGCGCACAAGTTTTTAGCTGTGCAAATACTCCCCTGGTCACCACCGAAAAATGAATTGCCAGAAAGACGTAAGACAAAAGGCGAAATGTCGAGGAAAGGCTACACTCCACCGTAAAATTTCAATACACCAATATATGAAGATTGGACCCCCTTCAAAGTCATCAACATTAAATGCTGGTACTTCTACTTCTCAAAAGGACCTGGAGGGGAATGGAGGGAGGGAGAAAGAGGGAGGGAAGGAGGAAGGAAGGACGAATGGGTGGAAGGGAAGGATAGAAGGAAGGAAAGGTGGAAGGGAATGGGAAGAAAGAGGGAGGTGAGGGAGGGAGGGAAGGAGGAAGGAAGGGATGAAAATGGTAGGAAGGGAAGGATAGAGTAATAATTTTGGTAGGGAAAGGTGTCGAAACAAGAAGCTGAGGGAATGGAGGGAGAAAGAGGGAGGTGAGGGAGGGAGGGAAGGAGAGAAAGGGGAAGATAGAAGGAAGGAAAGGTGGAAGGGGAATGGAGGGAGGGAGGGAGAAAGATGGTGGTGAGGGAGGAAAGGGAGGGAAGGAGGAAGGAAGGAAAAGGGTGGAAGGGAAGGCTAGAAGGAAGGAAAGGTGGGAGGGAATGGAGGGAGAAAGAGGGAGGTGAGGGAGGGAAGGAGGAAAGGATGGAAGGATAGAAGGAAGGAACAGTGGAGGGGAATGGAGGGAGGGAGAAAGAGGGAGGTCCCATCTTGCGTTTGCTGGCAGCGTTGGGCGTTATTGCGTTTACAGGGATGCAGTGGGAACTTTTGGGGTGCCCACCGGGTGGACCGTCTAGCCTGCAGGCATTGGTCGCGGGGTAGGCCTGAGCGAATGGTCTGGTCAGAGTGGGCATGAGGGGCGGGGTTGGGTGTGGTGTTTCTGTGTGTGTCTGTGCTTACCTGCCGGGGATTGGGTGGTCGTGGGGGACCAGGGTCCATTGGGTGCGCAGAGGTTCCGAGGCTGCGGAAGAAAGTTGGTGTATGGGGGGTGTGCGGGCGAAATGATGGTTGCTGTGTGACGGGGTGATGCAACCGAAAACACCGAGGGAGTGATCGGCGGCAGGACGGACACACTTGTGTTGACGTCCCGGCTAGACTGAAGGAAGGGTGGGCGAGTAATGGCTTCGTCCGCTGTTGTCGTCTCTGGCGTGTGGACGGAGGACCGTATGCAGGCTCGACGGCCGGCACCGGTGGCAGTGGGGGAGTGATGGAGCGTGGGGTGCGTGTGTGTGTGCGGCGGAGGAGAGGCTGAGAAAAAGGCCTAAAGGGCTGCATCCGGCCCCCCAGGTTGGGTTTGCCCATACCTGTTGTAGACAGATGGCACTATATAAACCAAGAACTAGCCCTCAGTAAACATGGGTGTAGCAGAGCAAAGCGCAGGCCAAAATGATCATCGCTACCCCATTAGCAATATAAAATTATCTCCCGTCGCATTTCCCCCCACCTGCAAGCACACCAGGAAAATCAAGTCCAACAAAAGACACAACTTGCAACTGAATTTACTCCGTCTTACCTCCGGGCCTGTAGACGACGTCATCTTCCGTGATGAAGGAGGTGATTTCCCCATTGTCCGTTCTCTCGTAGCGAGATTTCTTCTTGGGAGGCTTCTTCTTGTTCTTCTTGGTGGACTCCTCGGTGGTGGCACTGTTGTTGTCGTTGTCCTCATCTTCGCTGTGGTCGCTCTCGGCGTAGTTCTTGGCCCCGCCTTCCAGGGTGCAACTCCGCCGAGGCCGGGAGTTCTCGCTCTCCCGGGCCTTCTCGCGCTTGTCTCTCTCCCGGTCCCGGTCCCTGTCCCGATCCTTCTCTTTCTCCTTGTCCTTCTCTTTGTCCGCTGTCATGATTCGCCAGGTGCCTTCTTCTGTCCTCTCACGGCTCGGCCTCCGTGAAAGGTAGACAGTGAGCCTGGGCTTCAGTCTTCTGAATTTCCCACGCAATTCCAGGAAAAATTTGACCTCTCCAACGACCCGGGCGTTTCAAAAAGGCTCTGGAAAGAGACAAGAAAAGAAAGGATATAAGTCCAGGAGACATTCACAACATATTTTGCTCAAATTTTCAGTGCGAAGGTTGGGTGATGCTTTATATTTCATGCAAAGTTCCACCTGGTCTCCTGCATATGTCATCAGCTGGGGACCCCTCCCCACAGCACCAACTGCCGCTCTGGGCCAGAGTGAAGAGAAAGGGGGCCAGGGGACAATTCCACCTGGTCTGTGAAACTGGGAGCCAATCAGAAAACTGCCACATACACCGCCACATGCAAACATACAAACATTCACTTTTATTATATATATAGCTATAGATTGCATGCTGCAAGTTGCTTCTGGTTGCTTCTGAGGCAAGAGAATCAGCCGTCTACGAAGATGTTGCCCAGGGGACTGTGAACCACCGCCTCCTCCTGAGAAAAATGTATATCACAAAGGACTACCACCTCACCCGCCTCATAGGAAACCTGCTACAAAACAGGAGCTTTTTTGTTGAGTTCCAGGGCCAGAGAACAGATGGCGGAAACAGAAGAACGGCCTGCCTCAGGGGAGCGTGCTTGCTCCATCCATGTTCAACATCTACACAAATGACCAGCCACTGCCAGAAGGGACAGAGAGTTTCATCTATGCTGATGATCGTGCCATCACTGCTCAAGCAGGGAGCTTTGAGATGGTAGAACAGAAGCTCTCCGAAGCTCTAGGTGCTCTTATTGCCTATTACAGGGAAAACCAGCTGATCCCTAATCCATCTAAAACACAGACATGTGCCTTTCACCTTAGGAACAGACAAGCATCCCAAGCTCTGAGGATCACCTGGGAAGGAATCCCACTGGAGCATTGCAGCGCACACAAATACCTGGGAGTCACTCTGGACCGTGCTCTGACCTACAAGAAGCACTGCCTGAACATCAAGCAAAAAGTGGGTGCTAGAAACAATATCATACGAAAGCTGACTGGCACAACCTGGGGATCACAACCAGACACAGTGAAGACATCTGCCCTTGCGCTATGCTACTCTGCTGCTGAGTATGCATGCCCAGTGTGGAACACATCTCACCACACTAAAACAGTAGATGTGGCTCTTAATGAAACATGCCGCATTATCACGGGGTGTCTGCGCCCTACACCACTGGAGAAATTACACTGCTTAGCTGGTATTGCACCACCTGACATCCGCCAGGAAGTAGCAGCCAATAGTGAAAGGACCAAGGCAGAGACATCTCCAGCTCATCCCCTGTTTGGGTATCAGCCAGCACGTCAATGACTTAAATCAAGAAATAGTTTTCTAAGATCTACAGAGACACTCGCTGGAACACCTCAGCAAGCGAGAGTCCAAAAGTGGCAGGCTCAAACCCAGCACCTCAATCCGTGGGTGATACCAGATGAGAGACTCCCCCCTGGGCACACAGAAGACTGGGCGACTTGGAAGGCGCTGAACAGACTGCGCTCTGGCACCACGAGATGCAGAGCCAATCTTAAGAAATGGGGCTACAGGGTGGAATCCACGGCATGCGAGTGTGGAGAAGAGCAAACCGCAGACCACTTGCTGCAATGCAACCTGAGCCCTGCTACATGCACAATGGAGGACCTTCTTGCGGCAACACCAGAGGCACTCCAAGTGGCCAGATACTGGTCAAAGGACATTTAATCACCTACCAAGTTTGCAAAATCTGTGGGTTTTTTTTTAGTCTGTTTGTTTGTTTTGTTCTGTTAGAAATGTAATACAATGGTATGGTTGCTGATGACACGATAAATAGCTATAGATTGTACTATACCATTATACTGTAATATTATTAGTAATATTACATGTAATATAAACATATAGTTATACTATATTATTATTATATTGCATTACATTATAATATTATAAATATGATATGTATATACAATATATTATATTATATTACAGTGTTTAGAAGTTCTGGACTGGTTCACATAGGCCAAGACCAGCCTGTGATGAAGACCTCAACACTCCCCGCTCTCCTAAGCCAGGCTTTGATTTTATTTCCTGCCTACAAGCATGCCACGGTCTGTGAACAATAGCACAGGACACAAAAAATACTTCCCAGAGAGAAAAACAGCCTCCCTCATAGCCTGCTACATAAAATTGCATTTTTTCAGTTAAGGGAGTAATAAGGGAGCGCTGCCACATATGGTTAAAGCCTCCCATTCTCACGGTTTGAAGCTCAGCCTTTACCTGACGACCTGTCAATCTTGGGGCCAGCAATCTGGACTGACAGGTTGTGCATGACACGTCGTTTTGAGCAACCGCCAGCAGAGATGCCAAAACCAGGCTGGAATCGTTGGCAGCCGCCGCCATGGAAAGCCTTTGAATTTTGCAGCACTTAAGGCATCCGTAAGCATCTTTTGAGCGAAGGCTGAGTTATGGCCTCGAACATTATGTGCCGGTGCGCAATGTAAAGAGAGGCTGGCTGTTAAAAATGAGAGTTTTCATGGGCAATGGCTTTTCCAGCCGCCATCTAATAAACTGCGGCTGCTTCTGTTTAATGCTGCACTGAATAATGCACTACATTCCTGATGCAAGACGGGATCTTGCAAGTTGGAGCAACAAAGAGAGTCTGTCCCAGTCGAGTCAAGGTTATTTATTATTTTACTCGGTTATTATTAGTATTATTATTTATTCTATTACATTATTTTATTCTATGATTTGTTCCAAATCAAGAACTTTGGTCCAGAAGGAAGACGCTGGCTGCTGGAACTGATGAACAACTGCACTGCATCCTGTCAGATCCCCAAAATCTGGAGGAAAGCAAGAGTCATCGCCATCTTGAAACCAGGCAAGGACCGTAATGATCCAAAAAGCTGTAGACCAATCTGTGCCACCTTTACAAAGTCCTGGAGAGACTTATTTTGCATAGAATTATGGAAAAAATAGATCAGCAAGCTGGCTTCAGGAAGGGCAAAAGCTGCCCTTCTATTATTATTGCATTTACTATTTTACTCTACTATTACTCTGTTTTCTCTATTATCTCATATTTGTCACAAAGGAGCCACGGTGGTGCAATGTTAAACCCTTGTGCCGGCCAAACTGCTGACCTGAAGATCAGCGGTTTGAATCCGTGAGATGGGGTGAGCTCCCGTCTGTCAGCCCCAGCTTCCCTACTGCACCTGTTATCTTGTAAGCCGCTCTGAGTCCCCCTCAGAGTGAGAAGGTTGGCATATAAATGTCGCAAATAAATAAATAAATAAATAAATGCCGATATAAACGTAATGAATAAAAATCTATATAAATAAAAACGCAATGTTCGTTTGTGGGATTAACATAACTCAAAAACCACTGGACAAACTGACACCAAATTTGGACACAATACACCTATCAGGCCAATGAGTGACCATCACTCATAAAAACACTGAAAAACACTTTAAAAGCTCAAAAACAAAAATTATGTTACAACGCATGTGCAAACCACATATATACACAAACACACATATATACACATATACACAAAAATACACGCACTCATATATATACACACACAACACATATACACAGACTGGGTTAGTATATTATAAAATATAAACAGATATAAAATATAAAATGTAAAAATTTAAAATATATAAAATATAAAAATAAAAATATATATTATATTATATTATTATATATTATTTTTATATTATAAAATATTTTATATAAATATAAAAATAAATAAAAATATATTTATATTATAATAATATAATATATAAATAAATACAGTATAAAATAAATGCAAAAATATATTTATATATTATGTATATATTATTTTTATATTATAAAATATTTTATATAAATATAAAAATAAATACAAATATATTTGTATATTTATATATTTTTATTTATATAAAATATTTTATAATATAAAAATGATACAATATACATAATATAAAAATAATATATAATTATATAATATAATATATAAATAAATACAATATAAAAATAAATGCAAATATATATATTATATTATGTATATTATATTATTTTTATATTATAAAATATTTTATATCAATACTAGCTGTACCCTTTTCTACCTCTTCCCTTTCTTCCTTTGCTTTATGCTTCCGTCCTTCCTTCTGTCTTTCCTTCTCTCCCTCTTTCTCTCTCTTCTTCCTTCGCACCCTCTTTCCTTCATTTCCTTTTTCTTTCCTTCTCTCCTTCCTTCTTTTCTACTTTTTTCCATCCCTTCTCTTTTCCTCTTTCTCTCCTTCCTTCCTTCCTTCCTTCCTTCCTTCCTTCCTCCTCCTTCCTTCTTCCTTCCTTCCTTCCTTCCTTCGCTCTTGCTTCCATGCTTCCTTCTCTCTTCCTTCCTCCTTCTTCCTTCTTTCCTTCCTTCCTTCCTTCCCTTTTTCTGTTTTGTCATGTAGCTTTCGATCATTTAGCTTTTGGGGGGTTTTAAGTCCTTTCCACTGTTTTTTGGGGGGATTTATGAGTGATGGTCACTTCTAGGTCTGTTAGGGGTATAGTGTCCAAATTTCATGTCATTTCGTCCAGTGGTTTTTGAGTTATGTTAATCCCACAAACGAACATTACATTTTATTTATATAGATGTTAATGTTTTAATTGTATTTATAATCTAATTAAATGAAATAACAGGATTTTTAAAGCTTTGCCTCAAAAACCACTTGAGCCGAAAACCCTTTTATAAGACTGACGGTGGGATTTTCGGCTCAGAAACAGAGCAAATCTGCTTCTGAGTGAGTGCTGGCAAAAGTCACCCAAAGGATCTCTTAGCTTCCTATCTGGCTTTGCATTACCGATATTGTCAATGGCTCCTATCCATTTAGGACTCTTGTGGATCCAATGCAGAACACATTGACTTCTAGTGGAACATGGGATGTTGTACTTAACGTGTTTTCAGGTTATTGTGCTGATTGATTTCTCGGCATGGGATCGACGAGGAACGGATAAAGAATTTCCATCCTTGAAAGTCCCTGGATGTCACCGTTAACCATTCAACGGACATCTTCATTGCTGTACACATGCAATCTCTTGTGTACTGGCAGAAACAAA